ACTACTGTGAAAGAGCCTTGGTGTGAACAAGAAATTTCCCTGTTGAAGTCAGTATATCTTTTTTTTTTTTTAAATTTTTTAATCTTTTTTTTCATTTTTATTAGAACCAGGGATCGAACTCACGACCGCCTGCTTGCAAGGCAGGTGCTTATGCTGCTGAGCTAAATCCCAGCCCCCATCAGTATATCTTAAATACTTTATATTTGATAATTGATTATAATAAATTTTGCTAATGTATTTTTTTCCCTTCCATAGGAAGGCGCTTTTGCACTTGTATTTAAAAGTGTTCATTTTCCTGGACAAGCAGTTGGGACAAGGTACATTAAAAATCTAATCATGACTAATCAATTATGTAATTGAAACATTTTAAAACATTTGAGTTACAGGGTTATTCTTTGTAGCCTATAAATGATGAACCTTTACTATAAAGGTTATGCTTCAGATATTTATGTGAATACATTTTCATATAATCCTTATATTTTGTTGTACTGTTTCACTTAACAAAATGTCTTAATAAAGCAAATACATTTGGCATTTATGATTTGCCTTTTCTATTTGGGGAGACACTATCATTACTATGTGAATTTGTTTAACTTTTTGGGGGGTATCGGGAATCAAACTCAGGATCTTATGCTTACCATGCAGGCACAGTGCTGCTGAGCTACTGAGCTAAATCCTTGGCCCCCTAGTTTGTGAATTTGGGTATTGAATATTCTCTAATTATAGTACTAAAATACTAACTTTCTCCATATTTTTTGGAAACATACATTACTGATACATTCTTAGATAATTGTACTATCATTGCTTTTTTTAGATACTATCATGAAGTCAAGAACAGTGAGGAACCTTAAGATTTCATGAGAGAGATTATTTTTAATCTGTAGGCAAGATTACTAAGAAGAAGGCCTAAAATGCAAACATATATTGGCATTCTGGGGTTTTATTTAACATTTAAAAGGAGAAAAATTTTAAATGTAGTGTTATGCAGTGACAGTTGGCAAACTTATTCTGAAATGGGGATAAACTGGCAAATTTATTCTGGAATGGTAATAAATACTTTAGGCTTTCTGGGTTATGCAGCCTCTTTTTTCCTAGCTACTCAGCATTGTTTTTCTGGTATGAAAGTAGTCAGGAGATGTTTGTAATAGCCTGGGCATGGCTGTATTCCAATAAAACTTTCTTTAATTTCAATTTGTCCATTGAAAATAAATAATTTAATTAAAACAAATTTTACTTATAAAAATAGGCACTGAGTCTGTGGATTTTAGTTTGCTGACCCAGTTGTTTTGATATATCTAAAGTTGAGTTTAGAGGAATAATTAATACATTATTTGAAAAATACTGACTAAATTCAAGTTGTATATTGTTAGCACATTATTTATAATAAAAGGTTTCATTTTGACTCATTCCCAATTACAGACGCGGTAGCCCCCTATTGATTGGCGTTCGGAGTGAACATAAGCTTTCTACTGATCACATTCCGATACTCTATAGAACAGGTAAAACTGCTTTTGCTTCCTGCTGTTGTGGAAACATGGAAACTGAGTGCAGTAAATGTAAAGAATTCTTTTTCTTAAGTTTGAATAAATGTCCCTTTGGTTTATCTGTATATATATGTATATATGTATATAGCTCTGTCTAGAGTGAAAAAGGTTTGTTTTTGAGTTCTCTGACTAGTAGAATTTTTTTTTCTGTTGTATATCCTTAGCTAGGACTCAGATTGGATCAAAATTCACATGGTGGGGATCACAGGGAGAAAGAGGTGGGAAATGCTTTCTGCATGAATGGGAAGGAATCTTACTCTCTTTTTGTTCATTCTTTACTAATTCTTTGTTCTTGAAGTGAATGAATGTGCCTCTAAAAAACTGCTTATTTATGGGGAAACATTCTGACTTTTTTTCTAATTTGCAGAGTATATTTTGTCTGTTTGCTTTTGGCATTTAGAAAACTGCTTTAATTTTTCTTTTTAATCTCTGAGGTATGAGGACATAGTAGCAGTATTTTTTTCTATGGTTTAAAAGTATGTTGGATATATGCTTAAATTGAAAAAAGCACTCTGTTAGTTTGAACAAAGTGGTAGTTATATTTAGATTGGCTTTATTTGAATTTAGAGTTATTGTTGTTTCTCTTATTTATGTTTGAAGTCAGTTTTTTGCGTAGAACTTTCAGCTATGCAAACTCGACCATTTTAGTGATATAAAACAACAATATATGCTTTTTCTGTTTACGTTCTGTTAAAACCTTTCCATGTAAAAGGTAGACTTTTACAAGTGGTGGACTTAGGAAATTGAAGCCCATAATACTAGTGTTTAATTCTTGCTTTCTTGAAAAACACTTAACAAAGTACCCTAAACCTATTTATTTTTAATGGCTGTTGCTTTCGTTCTTTTGTCTAGAGCAGAACATTATTTTCTTAAATAACCTTTGCCCCTGAGATACTAGTTAGAACTTATTTCTCTCCCTATCACTCTTCTCCCTAGCCACTGGTCTTTCTAGAAGAAAACTTTGCCAGTAAGAATGTGGAATGTGGGTCTAGAATTCTCCATCTCTCTTAATAACTCCACTTGTGTATATTTTATCTGTATACATTACCTTGTTGGTTGTTTGGGATACTTTTAGAAATAATTGAAAAACCATAGCTAAGGTCTTAAGAAGTTGGAAGAAAAATTTGCCATGATAGATTGCTTTTGAGTAAGCTTTATTTCTGTAGGTCCTAGGAGGTAATGAGTGGTTCAGTGAGAGTTAGCATCTTATTGAGGGGGCTGTGTAAAGCAAGAACTCTGGACTGGTGATTAGGCCTTTGTCATTTCTTCAAGTTGTGACAAAAAAGCCACTTTTCTCTCTGTAGAACAGGGATGATAATTGTATTACATCTCATGAGATAATCAGTATATGGGAAAACATTCTGGGTATGTTACAGTTGTATAGATGTTATTTAAATAGGTAGTGATACTTCATCCTCTTAAATATTCTAATAAATATTCTTTTATTCGAAGAATGTTTGGAATGAAATTTAACACTCCTAGGATATTCCGTAAACAAAGCAAATTGTATTTATTTTTGAAAGGTAGCGGTTGGGCAGTTCTTCTCATTTTCTTTGAGACCAGGTAGCATATAGTACAAGTTGAACTCATGATCCTCTTGCCTCAGTCTCCTCAGTGCTGTGATTACAGGCATGTGCCATTGTGCCTGGCGCCTTCTACTTGTTTTTTAATTCACTTTTTTGGGGGATGGGTGGGTTGGGGAATGCTGAAGCTTGCACCAGGGCTTTGCACTTGCTAGGTATGCACTGTGCACCTGAGTTATACCACCAGTCCTTTTTTTTTTTTTTTTTTTTTTTGCATAGAGTAAAATTCAAAAAAAAATTTTTTTTTTTGTCCTGGGGATTGAACTCACAATCTTGTGCTTACCAAACAAATGCTTGAACCGCTAAGCTAAATCCCTGGCCCTAAAATTCAATTTTTGATGGACAGTTTCTAGACTTTTGGTCAAAGGCAAACAGTTAACGACTGCTGTAATCAACGTATACAAAATTCCTTTCTCACAAAAGTTCCCTCTGTAATCAACCTTTGTTCCATTCTACAACCTGATAAACACTAATCTGTTATATTTCTATAGTATTATCATTTTTAGGTTGCCATTTTATATTAGTTTTTAAACTTTGATGTCTTCTAAAACTCACCAAATAATCAGGAGTGGAGAACTTTTTTTTCTTGTCTTTATTTATTTATTCTTTATTTTTGAGACAGGGTCTCACTATGCAGTTCAGGCTGCCTTGAGCTCACTTTGTAGCCCAGGTTGGTTTCGTACTCACAATGATTCTCCTGCCTCCGCCTCTCGAGTGCTGGGATTGCAAGCATACACCACCATGCCCAGCTAGAGTGGAGAATTTTGAATGTACATTCCTAAGAATAGTCACTGTGATAAGTATAGGAGTACAAATTTATGTGTATTAGGTCTATCAAGTTTGGTATGAAATTAAATTATAATTTTAGTGAAAAAAGTTTATGATATTAATGAATTATTGTGTTTTACCTGAAAAAGAAATATTACATTAAAAAATTTACAGTGTAGCACTGTTAGCTGCCACGCTATATTTTATGGTTGCTATGTCACTGTACACTTCTTGTCTGTTCTTATTGGCTTATTGCATGGAAAAGGGTGATCTGGCATTTTAAAATTGCTGAAACTACTTTGTGTTGCAATGGTTTTTTTTTTTCCTTGATTTTGTAAAAATTTATGTATTTTTCTGAATTAACCATGATTTTCTACATATTTACCAATTCATATTAACTATATGTGCTAGGCAAAGACAAGAAAGGAAGCTGTAATCTCTCTCGTGTAGACAGCACAACTTGCCTTTTCCCTGTTGAAGAAAAAGCCGTAGAGTATTACTTTGCTTCTGATGCAAGGTGAGCATCCTCAATTGGTTCAAAGAGAATTTTTAGTAAAATTTCTCATGCTGTAGTAAATGAAGAAGTCATTTTGTATAAATTTAGTCATGTTTTATTGGAGAACTTTCTCTTTTTTCGTATTACTAGGGATCACACCAAAGGCCTTGTGCAAGCCACTGATCTGTATTCTCAGCTCTAAAACCTTCTCCACTGAGAAGTATAAGTAGCCTTTTAGAAATGGGGCCATAAGTGCACTCCTGTCCCACTCTGAAGCGTGTAGGTTGGTTTAGCAAGGAGACAGATAGTCCTTGACACTTGTTCCAGTGCAGTTACTTTGGAGCACTTGTAGTCTTTCCTTATTTCTCTCTTTCTCTCGCTTTCCCCTTCCTTCTGTCCTTCCTTCCTTCTCTTTTTTCTTTCACTTTTCTTTCCTTCCTTTCATTCAGGTTACCTGGATTTTGTAGAAAGGAGAAATTTTGATTAATTCATTACTGCTGTCATTATTTGCAGTGTGGTTTAACCTAAGGCATTGAGCATGCTAGGCAAACATCTTACCACTAAGCTAGATTAGCGAATAAAATAGCTTAAGTGGTATCATACCAATTATAGTATACTAGCTGAGCCCATTTTACTTTTATTCTAACAAGCATATTTATCGTTTACATTCAGAATGAATTTATAGTATTATCACGTCAATAAAGGAATAGTATTAAGAGATTGTATGAACTATAGTGATGTGGATAAAATGGTCATACAAATGGCAGTAGGTATTTGAGTTACTCAGTATGGCTAAAAATAAAAGGAAATAATAAAAATTAGAAAATGATAACATTTAGGACTTAAGGGAGTATATTACCTCAGTGGGAAAACAAGGTTCATTGTTTTCTATTTTGTATCTGTCATTGCTATCATTAAGTGGCTTTGTTATGGAGCTGACAATTACCGTTTAACTGGAGATTACAGGCACGATCAGTCTTTTTTTTTCTTGTATTCATATTGAACACCCTGAGCAAAGCCATATGCTAGTCTCAAGGACGCATAGTGAATAAGAAATAAAAACATTGCTTGCCATTAAAGAGCACTTCCGTAATAGAAGAGAATTTTTAAACAATAATGACACAAATATAAACTTTCCATTGTAATAAGAACTACAAAATACGTAGAACAGGGTGATTTATCTCCTTGCGGGTAGGTTTTTTTTAAGGACATGAAGCTTGAAGTGAGAAGTAAGGAGAAATTAGTTAATTAGATGACTAAGTAGAGGGAAGAACACTGATTTTCTGCAGATGGCTCATCCTGTGAGAGTTGAGGAGAGATGTACGTGAGGCTAGAATGGAGAGTGAGAGGTGAGGCTGGAGAAGGAAGTGTAGGGGTCATTCATGATAATGTATTTTGATATTTTCCTTGGGAGCCAAATAGAAGCCATTATTGGTTTCTTGAGTAAAGGAGAAAGCTTGACTAGAGTTACTTTCTGTAGTGGATTGGTAACTGGTGGTCAACTTAAATACCAGCTGGACTGAATCAGCGTTGTACTGAGTGTAGATGGCCCACTTGAGGAAAGTTGCCAGCATAAAGAGACCTGGAGAGGAAGACTAGCATTGTGGGTTCTCCTAAATGTTGTTGTTTGGAGCTGTTGGTTCGCCTGGAGGAGTTTGTCATGCTATTTCCCTTGATCTGAACTTGGCTATTACTATTGGAAGAGCTTGGGACCTTGTTGCTGAGAATGGCGGTGGTTCATTTTGGGAGAGCTTTCTTCCTTACTTTGAACATCACTTTCTGGCCCCAGAGGGGAAGATGTGTGATGTTTAAGCTCCAGGAGAAGTTTGTCCTGCTGGCTCCCTGATATGTACTTGACTGTTTTTGGAGGAGGAGCTTGGGATCTCATTGTCACTGAGGATGGCTGTGATACTTCTGAGGGGAGCCCTGGTCCATGGTTTGAGCATTGCTTCTTGGCTCCAGTGCAGAACCTTCTGTCTAGCACAGATCCTTCACTCCTGTTGGCATAGACTTTCTTGATCTTTGGGCCTTCCCAGTGCACATCTGTGAAGCAGACTTACATGAATCATCATCATGGGCTCTGGGCCTCCAGCTGGACTTCTGGGGGAGAGTGTCGTGGGCTCTAGGTCTTCAGCTGGACTCATGCAGGATAATGCTGTGGGATCCAGCCCTCGGCTGGATTTCCTTGGGTCCTTTAGTGTGCGGATGAATTTCTTACATTTTGTATTTAACTTCTTGGGTGACTATCACAAAATACTATAAATGATGTGCCCTGTATGTAATCGTTCTTCTTGCAAGCCCTAACTACTACTACACTTTCTGATACCGATTTTTGGCAGAAAAAACAATGAATGGATGGAGATAAAAGAGAACTTGGAGGGATTAGGAGGATACTACAGTAGACAGCCTTACCACTGACAGCAGTTTGTACTAGTTTGTGGTGATGGACATGACAGGAAGCTTTGAGAAATATTTAGGGATTAAAATTGCAGGATTTAGTGATGTGTAGGAAAGGAGGAAACAGCCAGGCCTTTTGAGCTAATCCAATCCGGTTAAATTGTTGTGCAGAGAGCCTCTTATTTTTTGGTCCACAAAACCCCCACCCCCATCCTGTCACTGCCTTGTAGGTGATGCCATTGTCAGAAAATTTATGGAACTACAGCAATATTATAGCATTTGTATTTAAATTTAGTCCTTGTGTCCTGCAGATAGTCCTTTCAGCAGAATACTGACCCATGGTTGACTGTTATATCTCCTTGAATGTTTTATAGTGCTGTCATCGAACACACCAACCGTGTCATCTTTCTAGAGGATGATGATGTTGCAGCGGTGGTAGATGGCCGTCTTTCTATCCATCGAATTAAACGAACTGCACGAGATCATCCTGGAAGAGCTGTACAGACTCTCCAGATGGAACTCCAACAGATCATGAAGGGTGAAAGTTTTTGTCATATTGTAGCCTGGTGTCCTTAATGGAGGTGGTCAAATTTTTGTCCACTGGTGAATCTAATAATAAGGTTGAGTGAAATCTTCCACATGATTAGTAAAGAGGCAACCTCAGGAAAAGGGGTGACTTTTTAGAAAAATTATCTCTTGATCTTAATAGTAATTTTTTTTTTTTGAGACAAGTTCTTGCTATATAGTTTAGGCAAGGCCATGAACTCACTAAGTAATCCAGTCTAGCCTTGAATTTACAGTGACCTTTCTGCCTCAGCCTTCTGAGTGTGCTAGGATTATAGGCATATGCCACCATACATGGCTTACAGTAGTTCTTTAAAGTAGTTCATGGTTTGCTATTTTTAACATCATAAAAAAGAAATTATTTTAATGGTACCTGATATTTTAAAGATATGCTTAAAGTATACATATAGTTTGTGTTCTGTTACTTATTGTGTCCTATCTGTTAGATAGGAACAATAGAACCTACCTCATTAAGGGTATGTGGTGGTTAAGAGGGTTCATTATGTAAAGACATTGAAACAGTGCCTGGCACACTTAATGCCATGTTTACTGCTATAAACCATTGTGATTATTTTGATTTTTTTCCTTTCTGGTTGGGTTATGATGGGAATAAAAACTGACATTTATTGCACAACAACTATATGTCAAGTTCCTTGCTATATTAAACTCACAGTACAGTCCACACTGTGAAATAACTGCTGTTGTTATCTTATAGATTAAGAAATTTCCCTAGTTGAGATGGTGTAGGATAGAACCATGATTTAAGCCTAAGTCTGACTGCAGAAATTAAGCTTGTCATTTTCCTGATTTGTTAAAACTGCATATTTTAGGTGTGCGGTAAATGATAGTAACATTTTTGAGACAAGTTCTTGCTATCTCCATACTTGTTTTTCTTCACATAGAGTAAAATATATTCATCCAGTTCTTTAGTTGCACAATACGTAAATATTGTCCGTTGCATGGCGTTTTGTTTCATTTGTCAAGCCAAAGGAAATAGACTTCTAGTTATGTACACATTTCTTATTCTTGGATTAATTAATTTTTGTGTTAATGTTCTAATTTCTATTAATGTAGGCAACTTCAGTTCATTTATGCAGAAGGAAATCTTTGAGCAGCCCGAATCTGTTGTGAACACGATGAGAGGAAGAGTCAACTTTGACGACTACACTGGTAGGACGGAGCAATGGTTAGAGTGAAGGTTTCTGGGGAGGTGCCATCAGCAACCTGGGAGTTCAGTGACCCCTGTAGCCTTGTAGAATACCTCTGAGTGCCAGCTGTCACTGGAGGCTCCTCCTTCAGTGTGTGATTCTACTCATATGAGATATGTAGAGTAACCAGATTGATGGAGACAAAAGTAGATTTAATTGTCACCAGATGTCCAAGAGTGGGTGGGGGGAGCAGGAATTACTGTTTAGTGGATATAGTTTCAGTTTGGGGTGATGTAAAGGATGTGAAGATAGACAGTGGTGTTGTTTGCACAAAGGTGGGCTTATGCTCAGTGCCACTGAATTGTGTGCCTAGGAACAGTTAAATGGTAAATTTTATCACTGGGTACCTGCCATGACTGTGGGGTGATAGTTTTGGGCTCTGTCCTGGGCACTGTGTGTTATAGGAAGAATGAGTCCTGGTCTGCTTGCTAGAAAACTTACATGTATCAGGCTAGGGTTTCTCTCTCAGGTTGTAAATAACTGAAGGTGTAACCCTCCCAGAGGTCTTCTAGGAGATTCTGATGCTGTGTGGGGGAACCTTTATTTTCCTGCATGTGCAGGTGGAGGTCAGAGTGCAGCACTGGTCTTGTGTGTGGACATTCTACAAACTGTTAGTTTCAAAGTTGAAGTTTCATAGACAAGAGTAAACCATCAAAAAATGATACCTGGTATAGTCTTACCCTTAAAGTTCTAATAATTTAGAAGGGAGTGATGAATACATAATTGCTTAACAAAAGGCAAAATATTGTCTTATTTAGTATCACATTATCATTAGAAATTTTATTGTTGAAATGCCAAAAATTTAATGTTGAATTTGGAGAAAATAGAAAATGAGTCTACTTGTGAAAGCAGCTTTCACATCAGGGAAGACTTCATGAAGCAGGAAGCTGTGAGTTTTGAAGGATTTGGAAGGTTTAAATAGGTGAATCAGATGGAAACAGTTGTGGAGAAGAGCCTGAGTTAAGGTGAGATAGTGGAAAATTACTAGGAAGCTATTTGTGCAAACATTTATAGACTTTTGTCTATCAGATCTAGTACTCAAAGAGCGGTAAAAAGGAAGGAAAGAACTAACAGGAACTACCGTGGAGGCCAGGAATACGTTCTCTTGTTGGGGCTGGGTGGCAGGTACCTCCTTTTATAGAAGGCTTGTGAGCCAGAGGCGACCCAGCTGTGCTTTGCTGAGATGATCTGGGTCGCAGTCTCCTCTGTGTCCTGAAGGAGTGCGAGACTGAGCTGCAGCTGTTACGTAGGTGTTACCCTGTCGGGGGTGAAGTGAAGGGGCGGGGGGCTAGGAGGGCAGCAGGAGCAGTGCAAACCGGGATTTCCGTCTCCTGGGTAGGGGTAGGGGCGGTTGCAGTTGAGTGGGCTAGAAGGAGTAAGAGAGCAGCAGATACACCATTTAGGGTACTTATGGAATTATGGTCAAGAAAATAATTGTTTCAGAAGGGAGGAGAACGAGCCAGGCATTGAGAAATTCATGGCATCAAGTCTTCTCTTCTGTCCACGAACTAGGAATCAAACTCAGAACCCTGAACATGAGCTATACCTTCAGCCCTGAGAAGTTCATGATTTTAAAAGATTTTTTTTGTCTCTAATTACATATATAACATTTCTATAATATAAACAGGATAGCTATTACTTTTTTGTTTGTAAGATGAGGCAGTCACAGCTCTGCAGGTCGAATGTGTTGCCAGTGTCGTATTGCTCGTCACGCATGGCGCTGGTCAGTGACCCTCATGTATTCAGTGGTGCTCCAATTGCTCTCTGTTCTTGCCCCTGTCTACCAGGCATTCATGCTATTTCTAGTAATTATGGCCTACACATTATCAGAATAAGGCTCCTCTCAAAAGCATTATCAGTTCAGACCTTGGGTAACTTCTAGATCTATCTACCCTAAACTCCCTCAACTGCCAGGGCATTTGCTAGGACTACTTTTGGAGAAACACAGTGACTAATTAATTTTATCATCTTACCTCCCAGTTGTTCTGCAGTGCAAGTCCCTCTGGTACTCTACTTTTATACAGAAAATATGACCCTGATCCATCCTAGAACTGCTGTTTCCCTCCCAAACAAACCTTTGTGGTGTATCCCTAAATGTGTGGGGTTTTGCCAGCAGGCAGCTAGTGCAGGAATGCAAGAGAGCCCGTGTGGATAGGGCAGCCACAGGGAGGGCACCGAGAGATGCGGCAGAGCGAAGCAGGCGACAGGTCGCCGAGGGCTGGGAAGACGCAAAAAGGACTTTGTGTGGGAGTCTTAAGTTATTTGGGAAGCCAGGGACACTTTCTACTGTGTGTTTTCTATTTTTCTGATTTCAAAATGGAATACCCCTACTATTAAAATTTTAAGATGAAGATATAAAATCATTCAAATAAATAAAAAGTAAAACATATTCCTTGGCTTTATAATATAACTAAAATAGGAAAGAGGATGGGGAGCTAAAGAGAATGACTGGTGGAGGCTGGGAGAGCACAGGAAGACCATGCCCACAAGGATGCACATTTCTTTCTCCACCGCTAGGGCCTCAGCTGTGTGAGTTTAGAGCCCAGGAAGTTACTCAGGGCCCTGATTGGGACGTTCACCTACTGGCCACTCAGGCAGTGCTAGGTGGGTGAGAGAATGAATGCTGAATGAAAATTTCTTGCAGGTAGAAAACTAGTCAGTATAAAGGGTTTCTCAGATAACATACAGGTAAAAAAAGAACCATGTAAATAGTTGGAGACAGAAAAAAAAAAAAAAAGAGGACACACCTTATGGGAGGGTTTTAAGGCCAGGTTTATGTTTTTCAAGGATCACTCTGAAGACGACTGTGGCTGTGTGTGGAGGGAAAACTCTAGGGCAGTGATTGTGAACCTTTTAGAGACTGAGTGTCTGAATGGCAATCCAGCATTGCAGCTTAACCTGAACACTGAGGTTTTAGTTTAGAAAAACAACTGCTCTCTGATGCCCAGCTGCTGGGGTAAAGTGAGGGCTGCTTGGCTCGCATGCTGACAGAAAGCACTGTGTGCCTGCTGTGGCCCGCATGCCATAGGTGCACCACCACTCTGGGAGGTCAAGAATGCTTTATGGGAGAGATGCCGGTAGATGTGGAAGAGGGCTGAGAGCAGCAGAGGATGCTGCCGGCTTTTAACTGGAGCACTTAGGTGAGTGGCCACAGCGTTTGCTGAGCGGGCACAGGCTGAGAGGAGAGTGGCATTATATTGTATGCAAAACAATATTTTGGATACCCAGGGAAAGGGGTAAGAAACATAACACTAAGATAGTTTTTTTCCCAGACAGGCTTATGAATTAGATATAATAAAATTTATGTTCCTTTATGTAAAATTCCTTTTTTAAAATGGACTTTTTAAAAATATATGAGATCTTGTTATGTTGCTCAGACTGGCTTTGAACTATGAGAACTCAAGTGATCCACGTGCCTCAGCCTCTGGATAAAATTTTGAGTTTTAAAAATTTAAAATTTTCTTCAGTACATGTTTGTAGTACATAGTGATTACATTCATTGTGAGGAACTGATACATATACATAACTCATCTCCATAAAATAATTTTTTTGCTAACATCAGATTCATTTATTTTACAAATTCCTTTCAAGTTAATTGTCATATATTGCAGATAACATCCAGACTAATAGGCCAAAAACATACAAAACCTATAGGAGAATATACTAAATCAAGGCCTATCTTTAGATACATCATCCATGCTGGATTACAGTAACTTTTTCTCCTTTTTTTTTATTGTCTCTCTCTTATTTTGTACTTTATTTGTATATTTTCTCACAAAAGAAAAGTCTCCAGATCTTTAAGCTTGTGAGTCTCATTTATTTCACTTAACATTATGATCTCAAGATGCATCCATATGATCTCAAGATGCTTATCCTTCTTTATGACAGAATAGTACTCCATTGTGTATAACTACATTTTCTTTTTTCATTCATCTGTTGATAGATGTATAGGATGCTTCCAAAATTTAACTATTAGAAATTGTGCTGTTGTAAGTACAGGCCTGCATACATCACTGTGATATGATTGTTTTTCTTTTTTGATACAGGGTTTCACTATGTAGTTCAGGCTGGCCTTGAACTCACTTTGAGCCCAGGCTGACCTCGAACTCGCAGTGATCCTCCCAAGTGCTGGCATTGCAGGTGTGCATCACCATGCCTGGCTTGATATGATGTCTTTCGGGAAGATACTTAGAAAAGGAATACCTTGGTCAAATGGGATTTCAAGTTTTAGCTTTTTGAGCAATCTCCATACTGATTTCCATAATGACTGCACTGGTTTATACTCCCACTAGCATGTACAAGTGTTCCTTTTTCCACATGGCCTCTGCAGCATTTGTTATTTGATTTCTTGATGATAGCCATTTTTTTTTTTTTTTTTGGAATGAGATGTAATCGCAGTGTTGTTTTAATTTGCATTTCTCAAATGGCTAATGGTGTTGAACATTTTTTCATGTATTTATTGGCTGTTTTTATTTTCTTGTCTGAGAGTTGTTTATTCATTTCAGGTATCCATTTTTGATTGGGTCTTTAAGTTTGGGGGAGTCTAATTTTATTTGAGTTCTTTATATATTCTAGTTACTAGTTCTCTGAGAAATTTCTGGCAAAATTTTTTCCCCATTTTGTAAGTTGTCTCTTCACTATGTTTATTGTTTCCACTGTAGTACAGAAACCTTTTAATTTGATGTGATCTCATTTGTTGATTCTTGGTATTATTTCTTATTCAGCTATGGTTCTGTTCCGAAAGTCTTTGCCTATACCTGTGTCTTTAAGAGTTTTACCTATTTTGTTTTTCAGTTCTAGTATTTAGCTCTTTGATCCATTTTTGTTTTAGTTTAGTGCATGATGAGAGATGTAGGTCTAGGTTCAATCTTTGGCATGTAGATTGCCAACTTTCCCAGAACTGTTTGTTAAAGAGGCTATTTGTTAAAGACAAGGCTCTTTTGTCAAAGAGAAGGCTACTGAGTATGGCTGGAGTTGTTTCTGCATCCTCTGTTCTGTTTCTTTGATCCACAAGTCAAAATTCTGTTTTGGCAACCTCCATGCCATGGTCATAGTCATGATCTTTGTAAAGCTGAGATGTGGAATAATTTCCTTGTGCTCTTTTGTCTGTCTCCTCCTAAACCGCAGCCTTCAGCATCTACTGATTAACCACAATCCTGTGGTTTGCTTTTAAAAGAGCTTTTAATTGAAAGAAACAGTTGTAAAAATGACTCAAATTGTGCCAGGGATTTAGCTCAGTGGCTTAAGCACCTGCCTGGTAAGCACGAGGTTGTGAATTTGATCCCCGGTAACAAACAAAACAAACAACAAAAAAAGACTGCAATAAGTAGAACACAGTAAGCACTGTAGTTGTGTGTGCTTGTGGGGCGAGGGCGACTAAGGTTAATTACTAGTTTGGGGGGGCAATTAACTTTTTTTTTTATTAAGGAGAAAAAGAAAAAAAAAACAAATAGGGTACAAGTTATACAGAATTTCAGAAAAAATAAACAATAGGAAATCACTAGTTAATAGATTACATATTGTTATCTTAGAAATAGTTGTTCAAGGGGCTGGGGATTTAGCTCAGCGGCATAAGCACCTACCTTGCAAGCAGGCAGTCTTGAGTTCGATCCCCGGTACCGATAAAAATGAAAAAGACCAAAAAAAAAAAAAAGAAATAGTTGTTCAAGTTACAAAATTAAAGCATATAAAGTGGACTTCAAACAGTGAGACTGAAAACAGTTTTGTTCAATGATCCAACAAAACTCAGTAATATGGTTATCTGTCTTATACACTTAAATATATATGCGGTTATATTCTTTAGAGCACTTTCTTTTCCTTTCTTTTATACAATGACAATTACACGTTTTGGGTTTTATTACTCCCACAGTTCTTACTACTTTTTTTGAAGAGAGTAAAACCAAATGTGACATAACAGAACAGAGTCAGTCAAATCAAAAGGATGGACATAATAGATAATGTAAAAACAAAATACAAGGTGATCAACAATGGTTACCATACTGCCTCTTGCTATCTTAAAAAGAATTGCCTATATCATCAGTTATAATAAATTGAACAAAACAGTAAAGAATAAAACCAAAACATTGGAGACATTACAGGGCTTTAAAAGAAGATAATAGTCAACCGGAACGGGCGTCATAATGAATCTTATTGTCTGTACGGTTGTTGCCTATACTTTCGAACTTGGTACTATCAAGCAAAGCAGAATAGGGGAAAATCAGTCAAAGCAAGATGGTGAGGGCTATACAGGGTTTCAAATCAAGTTAATAGGAAATCAAAGTGGGTTACTATAATAATATATTGTGCTTTTTAAAAATTTTTCCCGTAATTAAAAAGAAAAAAATAAAAAGTAAATAATTGAAAAAAGGAGACTAAGATAAAAGAGGGCATAACAACAAAACAGCACAGGTCAAAGCATAACCATTTAAGCAAAATAGTGTTTCATCACAAGACATCCCGACATACAAGTAGTTACCATAATGTCTCTTTCCTTGAAATCTTTGAGTATAACTTCGTATACTGTAGCACCAAACATATCAAGACAATGTAAAACCATTTAAAAGAATGACAGTATTACAGGGTATTTAGAACCAACTATCAGAAAATGAACAACGGTTTCTGTATAATTTCCTTGTCTATAAAAGTTTTTGCTTATATTATCACATATAATAAAATCCAATAAGATAACAACCTGTTAAGACTGATGGAGACAAAAGAATAAAAGCTTGATGGGACTTCAAAGCAAGATGATATTAAATCAGCACTGGCCATTATGATATCTTGTTTTCTCCAAAATAGCTGTTCCTATCATCCAATCTTCTCTGCCTCATTTCTGTTGAGCTCTTTTTCTGTCATTAGTTGTCAGTTTGTCTTCTTCATTTTGCTTTCTGCTCCATTCATTGTGGCCTCTCTGCCACTGTTTCTGAAGTCTTGGTATTTTCCTTTTTTAGAATATCCTGCAGTATTCTCTGTAGAGTTGAATTGGTGCTTGAAAATTCCCTTAGTTCTCTTTATCCTGGAAACACCTTGTTTTTCCATCAATTTCTAGGGACAGTTTTGCAGGATGTATCAATCTTGGCTGGAGGTTGTTACGTTTCAAAGCTTGAATTATTTCCCCCCACGCTCTTTATGATTTGATGGCTTGTGCCTAGAAGTCTGCTGTAATTCTGATGGTTGTTCCCTTGTAAATGATCTGTTTCTTGTCTGTGATGGCTTTTAGTATTCTGTTCTTATATTGGATTTCTGGAATTTTGATTATTATACGCCTGGGTGTAGCTCTGTTTGGGTTGTAGGTGGCTGGGGTCCTGTGTGCCTCATACATCTGAGTATCTTTACCTTTTGCTAAATTAGGGAAATTCTCTTGTATTATTTCTGTGAATAGCTTTTGTAGTCCATTTGTTTGTGTCCCTACTTCTTCTTTTATGTTCTTAATTCTTAGGTTGTAGATCCTCTTATCATCTTCTAGTCTTTGTATTATTACTGTTTGTTTTCTTGTTATTTTTAAGAAGTTTTTCATTTCATGCTCCCATATTACAAGTCTGCCCTCCAATTCAGATAATCTATCCTTAGTTTCTTTCAAGCTGTTATGCCAGCTTTCGATAGAGTTTTTAGTTTCCTGGTAATTTCTTTGAACCTGCTTCATGTATTCTACGTTTTCTCTATTTTCTCCATCAAACAATTCTCCCCTTTTTTTCTGTTCTTCCATTCCACCATCTGTTTTTTCTTGGGTGGTACTTAGCATTTCTCTATTCTACCTATCTCTTGCTTTAATTCGTTAAATACTTCATTTTTAAACTCGTCTATGAGGCTCTGGAGATACCGCTTTAAGTCTATTGGTGCCGTGTCTGATATTGCATGTTTTCTGTCTTCCTTTGCGTTTCCCTTTCCTGGATCAGTGTTCTCCGGATTGGGGATTGAGGACCCTTTCTTGTTGCTTCCTCTTCCCATACTTTTTGTTCCTTCCATACAAGTGAATGTAGGAGGCCCAATTTTTTTCTCTTTTTCGGTTATAGTTTGTTTGAATTGTGCCGGCTATGTGTTCCTGTCCACTGCAGTGTACTAGGGAGACACAGACCTGGGCAGCCTCTGCTGGGCCCGCCCCTCCAGGTTAACCTACCGAAGGCTTCACCGCTAGGTTGCACGTCCAGGCGCTGGGACCTGGTTTGGACTAGCCTACTGGGTCTAAGTCAGTGGCGTCACGCAGGCCAGGCTCTCCCCACCAGTCCCGCTTGAGACGGGAATATGTGACTGAAGTTACTGCAGCGCCCTGTTCCGGCAAGTCTGCCCGGTCCCAGAATGTCCTTTGCTGGAGCCTCCTACTCTATGAAAGGGTCCCTGTTCCCCTCACTCACCGCAAGTCGATGTAGGGCTCCCTGGTAGTCCTGCTCTCAACTTGGTTCGCAGATTCCCACTCTCAGAGCTTTCGCGCATCTCTCTCCCTGCCCTGCAGATTTGGACGCAGCAGTGGCAGCAGGAAATTCAGATCGCGGCTTCTAGTGGTGTGGGTTCTAGCTTCCGCACTGAGATTTTATCTGTTCCTGTTATAGCACCAGGATTGGATTTTCAGTTAGTTTCTTTTAGCTTAGTTCATTCCTGGGTCAGTAGGGTGTATTTCTCCTTGCTTAGGACTCCTTGTACGCAGCATTCCTGGATTGTAAGTGGGGTATCTCAGAGAGCCTCCATAGCTGCTGCTGTCTATCTGCCATGTTCTTCTGGAAGTTGGGGCAATTAACTTTTAACCAATTACTTTACTTTTATGACTGTGGAAAACTATTTATCCCAAAAGGAATATGAATTCTTAAAACAGCAATATTATTTCTCATGTTTACTGTAGATAGTCATAAAAAATAATTGCCTACTTCACATAAATAATTATATATACCACTTTTTATTTCAGTGAATTTGGGTGGTTTGAAGGATCACATCAAGGAGATCCAGAGGTGTCGGCGTTTGATTCTTATTGCTTGTGGAACGAGTTACCATGCTGGTGTAGCAGTAAGTAGCTTATACATTTTTAATTATGTTATGTTGGGTTTTGGAGGGTACCTGCAACACATCATGTAAAACTCTCTTTGGTTGAAACATGTCTTTTCATGTTTAAAATGGTAAAAATCAGACAAGGGTTTATAGAACAGTGACTCCTTGAATGGTTTATCTGTGGAAGATCTGTTCTGCGCAGCTCTTTACACAGATAGACCACTTACAGCTGTCTTCCTGCGAGTCCGCGAGAAGAGTGCTGTACCGTCCTGGACTAGGGAGCACGCCTCCTGTGTGTACAAGAGGGGCGCTGAGGGTGGCTAGCATTGCTCACTTCTCAGGTTCATTCATGGATTCCAACTGGAGCAATGCTTTCTCTCCTCAAAATAATACATGTGAGTGTATTTGCTTGTAAGAATGTCTGCACTCCTAGCTGTCTAATGCGACTCGTACTAAGATGTTAACAGTGAATACTGTTCTTATGGGGTAGTGGGATTTTGATTGTCTTTAATATATTACTTATATTTCTTAACTTTACGCATAATTTTTATGATCAGAAAAAGTGAAAACTATCAATTGAATTCTAAGAAGTGCAATGAAAAGAGTATCTGAAGTATCTGAAGGCAAGTTGGATGACCATATCGCCTTTTCTCTGCAGACACGTCAGGTGCTCGAGGAGCTGACTGAGTTGCCAGTGATGGTGGAACTAGCCAGTGACTTCCTGGACAGAAACACACCAGTCTTTCGAGATGATGTTTGCTTTTTCATTAGTCAGTCAGGTATGAAGGGAAGGGAAGTAATGTTTTTGTAGTAATTCTACTGTATTTTGGCAAAAACTGGTAAAGAAATTGGTATTACAGATGATAAGTACAGATTTACTTTAATGTTACATTCTTTTTTTTTTTAAAGGAAGTGCTTATTTATTTATTTATTTATTTATTGGTATTGGGAATCAAAGGACCTCAGTGCTTGCCAAGCAGGCGCTTATGCCACTGAGGTAAACCTGCAGCCCCTTAATGTTACATTCTTTAAGAATTGGTAAAATGAAGACCTTTTATGCTCAGAGTGCTGAGCTTTCAAAAGCAGAAAAAGATCTTAATAAAAGTTTTATAAATTAAGTACATGTTTTATGCTTTATGTAAAACAAATGATATTATTAAAAGAGTGGTCAGTTTATTTTGCATCAAAAGGCAGCAGATGCTGAATCTACTCCATATGTTAGTTCTTTGGTATCTTTTACATAGGTGAAACAGCAGACACTCTGATGGGTCTTCGTTACTGTAAGGAGAGAGGAGCTTTAACTGTGGGGATCACAAATACAGTTGGCAGTTCTATATCAAGAGAGACAGACTGTGGGGTCCACATTAATGCTGGTCCTGAGATTGGTGTGGCCAGTACCAAGGTAAATTTTTGATTTCTGTCTTTAATAATTGTGTAATCATAGTGCTGGTGAAATAGGCTCGTTTGTAGACCAGTATATATTTTGTTTTTTATTGTGAACAGTTAATATAACTCACATATTTTAGTGATCACTATAAATATTGTAATACTTAAGGATAAATAAATAATAGGCATAAGACTATAATATCCTTCCTTTACCCCATCTCAGTATTTAGGGAAAAGTACATGTAAGTACACTTTTAATAGGTCTCTGCTAGATAATTCCTGTTCATCACTTAAAACCATCCCACTAGGGACAGTGGAATACATAGTACATATATAAATATCGCCTTCCTAAGGTAGCTGGGAGTTAGAAAAGCAACATGTTAGACATAATCTAGTTAATCCAAGTAATTGTCTTTCATATTTTTATTTATATATTTCTAGTTTCTTATAAGTATCCTAAAATGCACATACTTTTTATTTTATTTTTATTTTAATGCTCATACTAGTTTTGAAAGTTTGTGTAAAGGAATATTCCTTGATATAAAATATGGCAATTAAAAATATGTTTATAAAATTTAAAAGTGAGTATTTTATAACAGTATTTGTTTCGCTTTGGAAATTACATCTATGAATATTTAAAGGACTTTGTTTTTAAAGGCTTAGTAAAACTACTTTGCTCTTAGAAATTGGGATATGCATAGATTTAGTAATGATAAACATCTTAGAAAAATAGTACAAATACAAAAGATTTATCTCTTCATAAGTATTTCTTTTCTGTTTTTCTGCTTAAGCCTAATACTCTTTGCTGATTATCTAATTAGATACTTGGGTATTGGTGCTTTTGGGTTTAATTAAAGGCTTGTGGAAGATGATGTTGACTTGTATGTAACCATACTTGAACTTCTTTATTTGTCAGAATCCCATGGTAAATTTTTTGGTTGAAAATCTCTGATTCTTATGTAAGAACTCTGAGGTTTTATTCCTTGGCTATTTTGATATTACTGTCACTATAATTTACAGAGAGCTGACCCTTCAGTTTTCTCCGTATGGTAATTTAACATGGACGATGTTGGGCTTGGGTTCCCATCTGTGGCTCAGTGTATACGCAGCTGCCCTCAGCAGCAGCTGTGGATTTAGGGCACAGTGTCCAGACAGACAACTTTGATGGGACTGGAATCCCAGAGCTCCTTTATTCATATCGTGAAACAAAAGCTTCAATATGCCATATGTGTGATTAAAACAATTCAAATTTTATAAAATGTGATTAGAACTGTGAGCTGCCAAGAGAAAGAGGTCTTTTTCCTAATTTTGTTGTTTATGAGAACTGTATGTTTCCTAATCATTTTATTATGACTTACAAGTATACAGTGCTAAAATAGTTGTAGACTAATATCCAAATACCCACTCTTTAGATGTTACCATTACTTATTTTGTGAAGTTTTAATGTTGTTATATATAGCATTCACTCACTTTTATATGTATAATTTTAGTAAATGTATTTAGCTGTGCAATGTTACCACAACCTGGTTTTAGACTGACTTTAGTAACGTGATGACAGTCCCTTATGTCTCTTTACTGTTAATTTTTACTTCTCCTCTCTAACCTTATGCCCAACAATAATTGTTTTCCCTTGCTGAATTACATTATTTTCCAGACATTTATACAGTGGGTTTATATAATGCATTATATATATATATATATATATATATATATATATATATATATGAGACACACACACACATTTTTTTTTTTGGCTTTTTCATTTTTATCGGTACTGGGGGTCGAACTCACGACCGCCTGCTTGCAAGGCAGGTGCTTATGCTGCTGAGCTAAATCCCCAGCCCCTCAATGCATGCCTTTTGTATCTGGCTTTTTCTGTGAAACAAAGTTTTTAAGGTTCATTCAGTTATTTTTATAAATCCTTTTTAAAAAAATCTTTTCTTTGATATAAGTATAGATTTATGGGAAGTTGCAAAGTTGTATTAGTCAGCTTCACATTACTGTTAACAAATACCCAAGGCAATTAACTTATGAAGAAAAAAGGTTTATTTTGGCTCATAGTTCTGGAGGTTCCAAAATTAGGCAGTTCCATTGTACTGTGCTTCTGGCAGGGGTAGAATATCATGGCAGGAGCATATGGCAGAACAAACTACTTATGTCTAGAGCTGGGATGCAGAGAGGATTAGAGAGTCAGAAAATCCCTGGTCTAGTTGAGAGAATGGTGCCAGTGGCCAACAGCCTTTCTAAGTGTCCCACCACCTCCCCATAAGGACCCAAGCTTTAACAAATTGACATTAGTCAGTGGCACCTATTCAGACCATGGCACGGGTACAAAGAACACTCATATACTCTTCACCTCTTCACCTAGCTTTCTCCAATGCTCATATCTTACATAAGGAAGTAAGCATCTTTTTATACTATATACTTTTAAGAGTGACTGTGTTGAAGATTTAGTAATATGGCAGTTTAGTATTTTCATTTTTTTAAAATTCCAAACTAATTTTGTTTTCTTCAACTGTCTTAGACATTACGGGTATGGGATTATTTCAAATAAGTTTTGAGATCTTTAGACTGTTTCTAAATTTTAGATACAGGTTTATATGTTAATTGTTAGTCAGTGAAGTTATCACTGATTTGGATCCCTGGGCTCAGTGATGATTCTGTTTGTGAATTCTTAACCTCATTTGAAAAATGGTCAGGATTAGAGGGATATTATTGACTTTCTTATAATGTCAGACCATAGACAATTTGATACTTCTGAGGGAATTAATGGGCAAAAATATGTAGCTTCATAAATTTTTGTATGTTATTGCAGGTGTTTAACTTTTCACCACAGTGCTGACTTTTGTTGAATTTTAAAAAATATACCCATGTAACTTTGTTTTTGGCTGACTAAAAAGAAAACCAAATTTAAAAATTCAGAATCAACATTTTCCTGGTAAATTCTTTTAAATCTTAGTAGATTGCAGTGGAGGATTGTAGCTTATTTTTGTCCTGATTGGTTTCTTGGTATGTGTCGTTGAAGTGTAAAATATCAGGGGTGGGGGTGGTTCAGTGGAGAGTACTTGCCTAGGATGTGTAAGATCCTGATTCAATTCACAGTCCTGAAAACAGAGGAGAAAAGAAAATGAAAATATAACACTGAAATTGGAAATTAAGCAATAATAGCAGTGCATTGGAAAAAAAATGTGTAGTTTGAAATTACTTGCATTTACCGACCAGTGCTGAAATGTTTTCAGTTTAAAAAAACACTAGATTGTAGAGTAACATTTTTAGTGGTGGACCGGAAGAACTGAAATATGACTTAATCGGTCATTTTGAGTATCCAGAGGTGGTGCAAGATGGTAGGTCGTTCCCTCTGTCCTTATATTTTTGTGTTTAATTGGTTTATTAAAAAACAAACCACAGAAAAAAGATGTAGTGTAGAGGCAGTGGAATTTAGATCGTAGATGGTCTTAGACTTGGAAACAGAAGACTTCAAATCTCCTTCAGTGCCGTGGAAAAATAATTCTGACCTCCTAGTGGAACATTATATGAGTACAGGGACACATAGAGTCCACCAAAAAAAAAGTGTACATCAGAAAGAGAAAAACTTGTATAAATATTTTAATACTGAGTATATTGAGATATCTTGAGATTAATACAAGTTATCTTTGGCCTCTACAGATATAAGAGGTGTTCAGAGTGGTGGCCATTCACTGTTAGTGTGGCGCACTGCTGCTGGGGTATCCGTGGTCATGAGATTGCTGCACATGCGTTTCAATTTCTTCTTTAAGAGCCGGCAGTATAGTAGGTTTTCTGTGATACAGAACATCCTCGAGGCTCCTTTATATGATGGTAGCACCATCTGTTGAAAAAAACATCATAGTATTTTTGTTCCTGAAGTATGTGTGGCTCAGTAGTTGTGGAAGAGCCACAGGGGAAATAGGGAGGCTCATTTAACTGTTGGGAAGATAAGGCACATTATAGACACTCATTTTATTTTAAAGGTGTCTCATTATCTAAATTATGACGGAAAGTACTTACTAATGAAGTGATCCATGAAGAATGATAGAAATTCAATACATTAAAACTAGAATATCCTGAAGTTAAAATTACACAAAATATTACTGTGTAGTCATTGATACTATAACCTGTCATAGCACAATAATCCTAATGCTTTAATAATAAAAATGTAAGTAAAATCTTCAAATATCTGAAACATAAAAATGTTCCTCTACACAATTATTGACTTAAAAAAAGATATCAAAATTACCATTAAGAAAGACATGTTAGAAAAAATAAAGACAGTGAACAATAAGGATAAAATTGTGGTCAAAGTGATAATTAAAGGTAAATTTATAGCATTAAATCTTTATTTTTAGACTGGGTGTAGCAATGTATTCCCAGCACTCAGGAAGCAGAGACAGGAGAATTGCTGTGAGTTCAAGGCTGGATTAGATAGTGACTTCAAGACCAGCCTGACTGCATAGTGAGACTGTCTCAAAAAAGCCAAAAAAATAAAAGAAAAAACTATTTCTAAGAAGAAAATGAATTATTGGCTGGGGATATAGTTCAGTGATGCAAGCACCTGCCTGCTGAGTGCGAGGTCATGAGTTTGGTCTCCAGTATCAAAAACAAAACAAGACTTATTGAGTTCAGTTAGAAAAAGAAAACCTAATAAGTGATAGTGAAAAATGAATGAATGAACTACAGAACAGAAAACTAGGATCTTCATCTTAGTAAACCTCAGCTGCTCTTTTGGAACCTTCTTAGGATTTTATCCATAGCAGTACTGTGACATGGAAGTAAAAAAATACCCTAGACTGTCTGTCAACGTGATGTTTCACTTTAATTACCAAAAGGTTAACCTTGGGTTGGTATGAAACCTATTTCATATTATTTCTGTTCTAGAAGTTCTATGTAGTTTAGTAAGAAAAGATAATAAAACAATGGAAAAAGATGAAACAGAATTCTCCTTTGCAATTGTGGTTGACTACTTGTAAAGCTTGAGAATATCAACTGAAAGACTTCTTAGAGTAAACACACAAGCCAGTTGGTGCACACCTGTGATTCCAGTGCTCAGGGAGGCTGAGACAGGAGAACCACTCTAGAGTTAGAGGCCAGCCTGAGCTACATAATGAGACTTTGTGTCAAAACCAAAAAGCAAACAGACAAACATTTAGTAAGTGCTATATATAAGACAAAATCTCTATGAACAAACTGTCTGCTTAAAAAGTAGTTATACGGTTGTCTGCTAGAGGGAAATTCTGCTTTCAATAGCTATAAAAACCAAATCAAAATAACTTTACCAAGAAACACATAGATGGTCCATAAACATTTTTAGATAAAAACAATATTGCTGCACTCAGCAGGCAGGAGCATTGATGTGAGTTCAAGACCACCCTGGGCTACCAAAGTGAGCTCAAGGCCAGCCTGAACTGCACAGCCAGACCCTGTCTCAAAAAGACAAAACAATAACAACAAAATACTGCTTTATAGACTTAAATTCCTACCATGGATTAATGAAAATCTGTATTTCTAGATGGGAAGTTTGATTTTTTTTAAAAGAAGTGATAGATCTGTGGGACAAAATCAATAGTCCTGCAACAAAACTGTAGTACCTCAAAGACTATAGAAAATGCCACAGACCAATAGAAAATGGAGAGAAAATTGGCTCCATTTAAAATAAAAACAGTAACACTTTCACTAAAATTAATTTTAGATAGACTAAAGAAAAATGTAAAAGATAAAATGGAGCAATCAAAACAACCTAAAAGCTTAAAAATATTTAACTGATTAAGCTTCTAGTAATATGTAAGAATTAAATAAGAAGACATTGTATTAATCCAAATCCATTGTATTAATCAAACTCAGGAAAAGTACTTGAAACAATATTAGAGGCTTTCTTAAAATCAGTTAAAACCCAAAAGACAAAAACCCAAGTTGAAAAACAGAAAGAAAACCCCAATAAAATTCTCAAAGAATATGAATATCTGACAAACATGAAAATATTTTAGGTTCAAGCTTTGCATGGTAGTCAGGCATGGTGGCACGTACATGTCATCTGAACTGCTCCAGAGGATCATTTGTGCTGATGGGTCCAAGACTAGCCTGACAACGTAACTTTCTGAGAAATCCAAAATTCGTGGGGTAGGCAGAAAGGGAGGGTTGCAGCCAGGTGGAACTCCCAGGCCTGGGCCAAAGCTGCTGCCCACGTCGGGAATTTCTCATTCCTCCTCCTGCTCCTCTCTGTCTCCTTTCCTTTCCCCTTTTTCAGTCCCCACCAGCCTTGTACTTAAGGTCTTCCAGTTGTATTTTCATCTTTTTTAAACATTAAAATTTCTAAGTTTTCATGAGGCAGCTGCAGCTCATTATCCTGCCTGTGGCATTTCAGGCCTACACCAGCCAGTTTGTGTCCCTCGTGATGTTTGCTCTTATGATGTGTGATGACCGGATCTCCATGCAAGAGAGACGCAAAGAGATCATGCTTGGATTGAAACGACTGCCTGGTATGAGAATATTTACGTGTCCTTTTGTTTTCGAAGGGAGTGGATAATGGGTAAAATTCCCTCTCATCCTCTCTGTCTCTGTCTCTCTCTGTCTCTGTCTTTCTGTCTGTCTTTTTTGAGACAAGGTCTCACTGTACAGTTCAGGCTAGCGTTAAACTCACTTTGCAACCCAGGCTGTCGTCGACCTCACAGCGATCCTCCTGAGTGCTGGGATTATAGGTGTGCATGACCACGCCTGGCTCTCTTCTTACTCTTGAAGCTACTTAGTAAGATCTTTTTGCTTTTACAGCCATATATTAAAAATGCCTCGATGATACTGCAGAAGAATTGAAGCACTAACTTTTGTTGATTGCTACCAATATATTATTGTTAAATCTGTTAACTTTAGTATACATTTTTCATAGATTTTGCTAACATTTATTTCTTACCAGATTTGATTAAGGAAGTGCTAAGCATGGATGATGAAATTCAAAAATTGGCAACAGAACTTTATCATCAGAAGTCAGTCTTGATAATGGGAAGAGGCTATCATTATGCTACTTGTCTTGAAGGGGCGCTGGTATGTTTTTGCATAATCTCAGTCTGTTGACGTGTATATAGACCGGCACAATCATTATTTATTTTAGTTTCATTTAGTTTTGTAGTGCAAGACCTTCCCCACACTAGGCAAGCAGAATACTGAGCTATACCCCTGGCCTCAGTCATACTCTTTGAATGAATGAAGTAGATGGAACTTTTAAAGTATTCTTTATTAGTGCATTATTTTTTTTCCCTTAAGAGAGTGTTTTGCTTTTGTACCTGGGGAATGACGACAAGTCTTTTGTTCAAGATTAACAAAAGAATTGTAGGATTGATTTTCCAAGTACTCATTTGATGTAGTGTTAACTAGTATTGTCCCAGAGTGTAATACCAAAGTAAAAACCAAGAAAAGCACATTTTACCATGATAACTTGTATTTAGCAAGTAACTTGGGTTTATGTGTTGTTCAAATGTGAAAGGTTAAATTAAAATTAGCAAGTGGGAGAATAGTTACAAAGAAATACGAAAATATTCAAGATAATCTCAAACCTTAAAGAAGTCCTTGTGGAGCTTTAAAACTTCCAAATACTATACTGTAGATAACAATAAATACTATAAAAATAGATACTATTGGTACTATGATGATCTACTAACTTGATAGGTATATTTATAGCATATTCAATGTTTTTGTATAAATTGTAACTTCATATAGCAGATGTTTTGTATAATATTTACATGAAGATAGAATTTTGAAAAGTGTTCTGAAGCTCTATCTGGTTCTTTTTAATTAGAAAATCAAAGAAATTACTTACATGCATTCGGAAGGCATCCTTGCTGGTGAATTGAAACATGGCCCTCTAGCCTTGGTGGATAAGTTGATGCCTGTCATCATGATCATCATGAGAGATCACACTTACGCCAAATGTCAGAATGCTCTTCAGCAGGTGATTGCCCGACAGGTGAGTTGAGAGTGGTTGTCAGGACACTTGGGGGTTAAGAGTTGAGTTATTAGCACTTACTTGAATTTTACTATTAAAATGATAGACCAGGGCCAGATAGGTGACTTATAACATGTTTACGCTGATAATTCACTTGCTTTGGAATACAGCCCTTGAGTTTTGACAGGAACTAGCTCATAGATCTCACAATAGATGGAACAAAGACTGAAACCTGGAGGTCACCTCCAAGGCAGGGACTTCCTGGGAAAAACTGAAGCCAAGAGTGAAACCGAAATTCCTGGTTCCAAGTTCTGTCTGTTTAAAACTAGCACATGCTGCTTGCTTTTAATATAATATTCTTAAATAATTATTTCAGAAGAAACCTTAACCGTTCTACATTAATATTATGAATGCTGTTTTTGATAGAATTTTCTTTAGATCAATTGTATGTACAACTCCCAAAAGATGCCACTTCCTAAGAACACTGACATTCAGGTACTAAGCCTGTAATTTCTTAGTTATTTGAGTTTTTAAAGATTATTGAATTTCACAGACCTTTTGTTTCTTTCACTGCCTGAGTGAGATCAGTCATGCCAGTTTAAATATGCCCATCAGTGAGGCTGTATGTGGATTGTGCAGTACAGAACCTGCACATGCTGGGGCTGTAGCCCTGCATTTGCTTTCTTGTGATTGTGTCTGTGGTTTTCTTTCCCAGGCACGCCCTGTGGTAATTTGTGATAAGGAGGATACTGAAACTATTAAGAACACAAAAAGAACGATCAAGGTGCCCCACTCAGTGGACTGCTTGCAGGGCATTCTCAGTGTGATCCCCTTACAGTTGCTGGCCTTCCACCTTGCTGTGCTGAGAGGCTATGACGTAAGTGGTCTACCGCTGCAGAAACCTGGGGTTGGTTTTTTTCACTTGGGTACATTCTGATACTTTTCCTTCCAAATTTTTAACAATACCCCAAACAAATACGTACCTGTCACCTGTTATCTTTTATGGCCCGAAGACTTGTGTTACATGATGTATTTTCTCACCCATAGAACTCGAGTGAACATTGGAGAGTCACCTTGTAAGACTGGGGTTCTCCTTGGGCAAACTCCACCTGTTTTCTTAGTGTATGCCTCTACTGAATAAGATAGCAGTTGGCCTGTAGCCTCTGTTGTTTAGATCTCTCGTGCACATTGCAGGACTTTTAACCCTCTATTATTGTACTAACAGTTTGCTCTTATTATTTCTAGTATACCGTGTGAGGGCTACCACCTTTATCTAGGACCAAAGCATCTTTGTGTGTATTCGCATCTTAAGAATTCTTTTTCCTTTTTCAGATTTTTGTTATGGTACATTATTTGGTTGACTGTATTGTACAGCTTTTCTTGTTTGTTCTTTTTCTATGTTTGCAGTATTGAGGGTTGAGCACAAGGCCTTATACCTGCCATCCTTAGCTCCTTTTAAAATTTTGAGACATGGCCTCACTAAATTGTCCAAGATGGCCTTGAACTTACGATCTTCCTGTCTCAACCTCCTGTGTAGCTGAAGTTATAGGTGTGCACTACTGTGTGTCCAGCCTGTGATATTTTTAAATTAGTTTATTAACTTTTTATTTTTTTGAGATAAAGTCTTGCTATAGTGCCAGCGCTGACCTTGAACTCCTGGCTCAAGTGATCTCCTGGGTAGCTTTCTTAGTAGCTGGGATTACAGGTGTGGGCCTGGCTCTAAATGAAGTAACTTACTTATAGCAAGCTCCTTTCTCTAAATCTGTATAATCTCTTAATCCCCCTTTTTTTTCTTTTTGCAGGTTGATTTCCCACGGAATCTAGCCAAATCTGTAACAGTAGAGTAAAGAGCATCAGAAATGGGATGATTAAGCAACACAAGACACCTTTTGTATTTAAAACTTTGATTTAAAATATCACCCCGGAAGCCTTTTTTAGTAAATCCATATTTATATATCAGTTATAATTATTTCACTAAATTTGTGATTATTGTGAAATTGCCTCATATTTTTCAGTACTGTGTGAAGGAATTTGAATAATGAAATCTGTATTAGAATCTGTATCCAGAAATATTTTAGCAGTCATTTTCTTTAAAGAACTGGGTAGTGAACTTCTGAGTCCTTCCCTTTCATCTGCGAGGATTTTATCTTTTTTAATTCATTGGCATTTGTTTTATCAGGCTTCTATTCATTCAGACCAATGAAAGAGTGGTTCATTTAATTGGAATATCTATAGCCAGTGACAATGTATTCTTAATACTTGGACATTTACTGAAGGTTTTACTAAGTTATATAAATAGAAAATACTGTGATTTATTTTGAAACTTGTTTCTGTTTTATTTTTAAATCAAACTGTAAAAGACTGAAAACTTTTCTTGGTAGGATTTATATGTAAGTTTAGTTAAGCTTGTTTCTGAAACTTGTCTTTTATCTGTGAGTGGAAATAATTTAGGAAGCATAATATTACAGTAGTGTGTTGGTGTCAGTCAATCCTTAATAAAACATATGTACACAGTTTTGTAGCATAAACTTTCAATTTGAACTGCTTTGGACAACTAACAATATGACTTTAACTTTGAAAATGGCAGTTGTTGGATAACCTACTCTTCATTTTTTCATCTCCTAAAAGTTTTGTTTCCTTGTATGTAGTTTTTATTTTTTAAATAACTGTTGAAGGACCTTTCTTTCTTTCTTTCTTTCTTTCTTTCTTTCTTTCTTTCTTTCTTTCTCTCTCTCTCTCTCTCTCTCTCTTTCTTTCTTTCTTTCTTTCTTTCTTTCTTTCTAAATTCACAACACAGTGCTGCTGTCGAATCAGTACTGGTACAAATATTCTCTTCAGTTTTGCCCTAAGGGAGTTTTTGCAGTTAATTTAACATCCTCCACTTCCTTGTTACATAACACTACTACCCTTAGTGCCAGATGGAACTTCCTTGCAATTACTTGGAAGATTTGCAAGTCTTTGAATAATCATTTGACTCTAAATGTGTATGATAGCTTAGGCCCAGATGTAAAGATAATATGCTTTATACTGCTATTAATGAAGAGCGACATCAATGGAGTGTTACTTCCTAGGTATTTTTTCTGTCTGTATTTTCTGTGTTCCACCCTTACAATTAATGTAGGATTGAAGATGGTATAAAGTGATATTGGTATGCATTCAGCTGGCTAGTGTCAATTTGACAGTTTAGATTAAAATATTTAAAGTAATGTGTTACCCCTAATGTGACTAATAATTTCTTCACAGAACTTTTGGGCTATATCTTGGGGGCTATAGAAGAATAAATATTATGGGGTTATAGTTCAGTTAAGTCCTTTTCTTTCCAAAGTTCTCTTTTAAATTGTGAAGGTGAAATATTTAGCATGATTGTTAAGCTCAGTCATTCTTTTTGTGTTTGAACTTTTTGATGAGGTTAAGGTTTTGTAATAGCTATCCTTATTGCAAGAAAAGCACAGAATTCTGCTTGTGTTTGAGGGTTAGAGAAGGAATTGACATTTTTTGAGGTGGTATGGAAGGACCTTCAGTGTTGGTGACAGAAACCTAGTTGGTTAGAAGATAAAGTAAGGTCATTACTTACATCTATTTAACTGCTATAGCTATTCTTACCTATTTTAATTGTTTCTAGGATTATTTTGTATAAGCCTGCTAGTTTTAGTGTGAGTATAGTGTTATTTCTTATGTTTGATATAATAGTACATGTAAATTGTATGGGTTTAGAGCATTTCTTTTAAATTATTTTACTGACATTTTTGTGCATCACTGTGGAGTACAGTGTGGTATTTCATTACGTGGACACATTGTGAAATGATTAACTCAGGAGGCTTAGGTTATCCATCGTGTCACACATTATCATCGCTTAGTGATGAGTCCTGTCTTGTAGCTATGTGGTGTACTCTTCAGTATTGGTGACTGGAATAACCCATCGGTGTACTAGAATGCCAGAGCTCATGCCTTCCATCTGACTGTGACTTTGGTCTTCCGCCACACGCACACACACTTCAAGCTAGGGTATTTTCTGACCTGAGTATCAAAAACCAAAATAAAGGACAAAGTGGTATTTTTCAGAGAAACACAGTTTCCCTCCCCCTCTTTCTTCTTGGTTTCTACACCATTTAATCTAATGATTTTTAAATGCTTTTATAGACTATAATTTTTTTTTGAGACAGCATTTCACTGTGCAGTTTAGACTGATCTTGAAATCACAGTGATGCTCTTGCCTCTACCTCCCAAGTGCTGGGATTACAAGCATGGGCCACCATACCCAGCTAGACTAGTTCTTAATACAAAATAATACTATAATTAGGCAAGCCACTGAGTGAGCATACCAGCCAACATCATTGTAATATAGGATATAAAAATCTGAATCATCAAAAGAGATTCTTTGCAAAAAATTTCATTATATAAGAAGTCTATATTGTAGTGCATTTAAAGTTTAAAGTTGCTTTCATGTGGTTATCCCTAATCCTTTTTTAGGCAGGTGGACATATGTAGTATCTAGCACATGGCCCAATAAATAGCTATTGCTTTGGAATTAGCTTTTCTTTTTTAAAAGTCACCTGTGACCCAGGATAAGGATAAGGGAACAGTTACTGTTATCTTTAGTTTATTCCAACTGTTTCAACAGGTGTTTGTTAATACCTGTTATGAGCAAGTCAGTGTGCTAGGCCTTGAAAATGACATCCTCAGAGCCAAGTCGTTTTGCTCAAGCAGACTCATCACTTGAGAGGAGCAGGTTCACAGGAAGGCACAGTGTAAGAGTGGGAAGACTGAGGTGGGCTGAGCTTTTAATGCTGTGAGTCAGTAAGATTTGTTTACTTAAGTAATAGTCCAAGTTTTGGGACATAGCATTTCATAAGAAATGCACTTGTCCAGTAAGCCATTATCACAAGCTATAAATGTATATACATGTCTGTGGTTCTCTAAGACAGCAGTCATTAATATGCAGAGATGCTCCTCAAAGGGAACTGACACAGGGTGGCTGTTGATTGAGAGAGCTGATACTAGCTTTTTTAGTTTAGGTTTTTAGCGGGTTGCTTCTGAAATGAAAATCATTTTTTTTAATCCAGGTCTCTTGTCCTTATTTCATTGTTTTTGGCTCCTAGGTAATAGTCCTGTGACATTTATTTTTATTACTCTTCAAAGTAGGAAAAGAAGTTGAAGTGTTTGCTTTAATATATCTGAAGTTCTTTGAAGATCAGTTTTTTCTTCCCCTTCCCCCTTTTCAGTTAGGATATTCTGTAATAATAAAAGAGGAAGACAGATGTTACCCATTTACTGTAAACTACAATTAGTGTTTTTAAAAGCACATTCTTTCATAAGTATTTATTGAAAGATAATCATAGTTCGCACTGAATTTGGGGAGGCCAAAGAAATTGAAGAATGATAAAGATACTTATTTAACAATATCTACACGTTTAGTACATTTTGTGTATGAGAATACCAGGCAGAGAGTTTTCCCAATGGACATAGATTTAAGATTACTTTGTTTTTACTGTTAGAGTCTCAAGTTTAGAAGTTTTAACACATAAATCACTTCCCCCAACTATAATTACATATTATTAGTAAATATTGCAGTATCTTCCTAGCTTGATGAGTTTAAACATATCTCTAACTTGAAGACAGTGATATAATGTCCAGGGTTAAAACAAAGTATAGTTAACTCACAAATTGTTAACTTTTACCATATTGTAAGTCTGTAATAGCTTGTTACATAATCATAAGTAATGGCTAAGGGGAGCATCCTACGAAATTCTCAAATTGCTTTCTACACTGTTTTCAGAATGAATATAGAAATGACCCTGTTAGTTTTTTGAATGTTTCATGGTTGTATGTATTTTTGCTTAAATAAAAACGTTGGTATTTAAATTATACTGGGGGGGGGGTTACAGTCATCTTTGCCTTGTTTCTGTTTTGTGTTCTTTAAAATGAAAGTTTAGTTTTCAGAGCCAGTTGGTTATTTTGTCCTCTTGTTAAATCCAGTGACTCTGAGACAGAACTGTGAATAAATTACCAAAAACTTGCTGAGAATTTCATTTTGAAGCAACTTGCCAATATTTGAAGTGTGTATATGTATATAGTTGTTTTTAAAATTGTGCTGTATTAGAATGTAGGAATGTAGTGAATGGTTTACTTTAGTTATTAGTAAACATTTCTGATGCTAAGATTTTATTCATTACTGTTGCTTTAAAATAATTATAAATAAGTGTAAGCATAAGTATTATTAAAAGCCACATCTCTACACCAAATTTCCAGTTGTTTTGGAGAGGATCGTTAGAGATGGCCATGTACTCTTTTCTGATACAGTACTTGATAGGTACTATACTTTTGCAAGTTACCATAATTCTTTTGTGATAATCTGTTTCTAGTGTGTTGATTGTTGAGAAGAATAATATGTGTAGTGAGTGGCAGGACAATCTGGAGTTTCAGTGGTACGTGGCAGTCTGTTAAATTATAGAACAGAGATTCCCTTTACAAACTCCTTTCATACACAGCAGGCCGGGCGCTCCCTCGTGCTCACAGCACTTGCTCTGCTTTGAGGAGACTCTTGGGGCAGAGGGGTCTGCGTGAGCGGATGTGCTTTGGGTCGGTCTGCTCAGTGGAGCCTCTGGGCGCTCTCAGTCCTCTCTCCCTCCTGCACTTTCCATCCACAACAAGGCCTCAGACCGCCTCACCAGTGGGCATCACTTTTTCCATGGGCTACACTTCCGGTGTAAAATTGAGCTTCACTTAGCAGTTTCTTTAAATTCTTCTCAATTGACTGTCTTCAGTGTTCACTGATTTCTTCATAGAGACCAAGAAAGAATTTTTCTAAAAATTAAAAGGCCACTTTTCACTGAGAGGCATTTAGAGAAAAAACAGTTCTTTAAAACTTGGATAAGGGAAAGAAGTACAGATTAAGTTTCTTACTAATCTATAGGCAGTGTTTCATTTTTTATGGTGATATAGGAACATTATAGACTTAACAAGCATCCTAGAAATAAAAACTAATCTTGTGCTAGTGCACAGAAAAATGGTCAGATTATGAGTCATATAATCAGCCGATCCTGATACACCCAGGAATTATGTATGAAATAAGATAAATACATCATTCTCTTCTTGGTGAGCATGTATGCAACAGAATATTTTTCAGATTGAAAGGAATATATGTGAGCTTCGTGTTACATGATTCATCACTCAGATTCTAAGCTTTGCTTATGTGTTTTCTCATGGAGAATGCTGAAGTGTAACTGTACTTTACTTTTTATGTTTCGGCACAGATTGAATACAAAGTATGGATGTGTAATTGAAAATGAATAAAAATGTAGCTTTTAAATAGAGAAATAACTGGATGGAATTATAGTTTTTTCCATTTATCAGTCTGCCTCTATTTCTATAAGATTATACAGCTTTATTGGGATAAAAATGAGTAACATGTTTTTAATTTGTGGTGTATACTGAGTGATTTAGAAACATTCAACAATTATAATGACACTCATATAAAAATGTAACAGCTGTTGTATGTTCTTGGTTCTTTAGGAGTTAATTTTTGCCTCTGTCAGCTTTGCATGGTTTGAAATGGAGGCACGTGTAGTGAGGTGTTGGGAGGAGAACTGTGGGGATTCTCAAGCATGCAATAATGAGAATTTCAGACCCTTTATCCCTAGAGAGGAAGCAGTAGTGCTTACTGACAGACTGCCATAATCTTACTCTAATTTTCTAATTTGTGAGACCCAAAGGTTAATGCCCACTAATGGTACTGGGTTGTCCTGCAGGCTGCAGAGGGTTAGATGTGTCAAGAGCACTACAGTTCGTTTCTGGCCGTGGCTCCCGTGTAGGTGACGTTGGGCTAGTATGGCGTCAGTTGGTGTTTTAGGGTGTCGAGTTCACTGTGAGGTGGACCCATTAGAAAGCTTGATGTATTGTCCTTCAGTAATGCCCTTTTGGGGAGGAAATGTCTGAGACAGCAAAGACAAATAAAATGGCATTATATCCGAGTATCTTTCTGTTAGACCTGAATATATCTAGCCAGTTTGACTTAACGGGGCTTAAAAACTCCTGTTGTATTTTGTATGTAGAATTGTTCTTAAGTATCAAGCATATTTGCTTTGAATTTGATCTTAATTTTTTTATCTTTTGAATAAAATGTAAACCCAATATTGGCTTTTTATTAACTTATTGCTACGTTTCCTTGTTAGACTTTCATCTTGTTCCTGATTGTTAACTTGGATCTGTGCTTTGTGATTAAAATTTAAAGGATTTCTTTGAAGGAAAATTAGCTTTGAAAGTTCTTCACATATGTCATCTTTTTTTGAGTGCATTCATTAAGTGAAGTGGGAAAATATGCTTGCCTTTGAATACGCAATTGTCTTTGATGACAACATTAGGAACATAAAACACTGTTATTTTCTCAGCACAGATTTGTATAAGTCAGTTCGCACATTTCTAGTTCTTTGTGGGAGAAGACAGAAGAATGAGGGGAATGACGGGTTCCCAGGGAAAAACTAGCTGACATGCTTGCATATTGGTTTCTAAAATTTGACCTTCCCTGAGGTTCCTAAGTGAATGGGTCTCAGCCCCTTTGGTTTCAGTATTCTGAAATCGAGTAAGAGCAGTTCTGTTTTGTTGTTCTTGGGTTTTTTGAGACAGGCGCTCACTATGTAGCCTGGGCTAGTTTTGCACTGTTGGCAGTCGTCCTGCCTCAGCTTCAGGAGTGCTGGGTTACAGGTAGGAGCCACCTCATCTGGCCAAACAGTGCTGAAAATGTTGAAAACCACCTTTTTCATTTTCTTTTTTGTTTTTTTTTAATTAACCCACCTGTGGCTTGCCTCTTGCCCAAAATGGATACCTCAAAAGTTGGACCCTTGTTTACATGGAAAATCACTTCACAGAATTAAACAGCCAGCTTTTGCTCTTCAGCCTGCTTACCTTGTTCTGCCAGTTTCTTGGTTCTTCTGGTCATTTGAGTAAAACTTACAGAAAAATGAACTCTACTTAAATACAGTTCTCAGAGTCTGAAGTACAGAGAACTTGCTGTAGTAGCTTAATTAAATTTGCTTATCACAAATGAATAACATTTGTGACCATTTTTCTTGTATGTTTACCTTGTTTGGTCAAGAAATCAGAAGTCACTGCTGGGATTTCCAGTAGAAACTGATTTAATGTGGAGAATTGGGCTTACATGACCATTGAAAACTTGCAGAAATACAAGTTGAAGAGCCGCTGTGCCACCTGCCACTCTAGGCATCAGCAGGAGCTACCTGCCAGGGGACAGCCAGAGCCAGTGGTTTTCAGATACCTGGAAGGCGTGGCAAGTCCCTAACAGCTGCCTGATGTCCATTAACTAGATCTCAGTTACTGCTAGAAAATACCTTTGATTTCTGCCCTTCCTAACCTAAATTGCGTCTGGTGTCTCTTGTTGGTGGCATGTAACTGCCTGTGTGGGTGAGTAGGAAGGTGAGGAAACAGAATCTTCAGGCTCTGTCCCGCATCCCTCACACCTCGCTGTACATAGCATCTACCATCCTCATGGCTGTGTCTTAATTTCTGAAGAACAAAAAGGACATCGTGATTCTGTCTGACTGACAGCAGCTATCCATAGTGAAGAACACCCTTTTCCCAAAAAGAGGTAAAAAGTTGCACAGGTTATACTCCTCAGTGTGATAGCTGAGTTACCTGATCACAATATCCCCTGATATTATAGTCTCATGTTAGATGGACTAATTGGAAGGAGGCAGGAAAGTTGCTTAATATGTAAATATATACATACCAAATAAGTGAATTTTTCATTGCTATTGAGGTCCTTAAATGTTAATGCTACATACGTACAAATATATATGCATTTTCTCTTCTGTTACTCATTTGGGGTGTAGTTCATTACCCCCCAGCATTCAGGTAGTTGTGCCTCTCTGCCAGGTCTTTTTGCCTCTCCTCTCATTTTTAACAGGCTGACAGCTTCCTATTGTCCCTGACTTTGTACCTAAACTTAGTGGGAAAAGTGGCGGCAGGAGTGTGTGGCAGACTACATAAGCAACCGGACTTCCCCGCTCAGAAAACTTGATGGATAAATACGGGGAAAATTATTCTATTAAGTAGGTGAGTTGTCAAGAAAGGAAGGGATTTCAAGAAGCAAAAGGAAAACATACACTGATGGTTATGCTGCGGGCACACCTGCAAGAGTCTCACAGGCTGGTCTGTTTTACTGGATTATGTGTCAGAGACAGCAAACAGAACAAGCTGGAAAACGAGGAAATCTGAACAGTTAGAACATAGCACTCTTGGCAAAATAAACCAGGAAGTGAAATACATGCAGAGACGGGTAGGAGGAAACACGCAGGCCGCCTGAGAATTCATTGCTACGTCTAGTTTCCATGCAGCTTCCAGTAGAACTTGCCCCACCTGTAAGTCCTGGAAAGCTGATAATTCACCGGCAGACCTAACAGAAGCAAACTCGGGGCCTTTCTGGAGGGATGTACTTTGAACACAGACCTCTGGCATTCTCAGAAATGTTTCAAGAAACAAGCTCGTATCCCAAATTATAAATTACCACAGGTGAGAAGAGAAATGATAAATTTGCAAAGATAGAAAAACATGAAACACAATATGAGGACTCTAACCCAATACAGGAATAAAAATGATACGGTAATTTCAGGGAGCACCAAAAATGAAATGTAATAGTTGAAGCAAAGATGGATAAACAGACTCAGAGAATTTGTGAACTGAAACCTAGAACTACAGTATTTACTGTATCAAGTGGTTAAAAAAAAAAAAGGCTAAAAGTGAAGACGTTTGGACTTTAGAGATATTTCCCAGACCAGAGTAAAGGCGAATTTAGAATTTAGGGTCCCCAGTAAATCTCAAACGATTAAAAGAGATACTGTATTTAGGAAAAATAGCTTTTAAGCTGCAGAATGAAAGATCTTAAAAACATCCAAAGATAAGAAGAATGCCAGGCAGTTGGGCTGATAGTTGGCTTCCCAATTGCAATGTCATAAATGAGGATGGTGGAGTCAGTCCACAGTACCGAGAACGCAGGACCTTGCGGAGCAGCACTGCTGCGTCTGCCTCCAGGGTACTTTGAAAACAACTGGTAAAAATAAATGTGCTGCCCCAAATCTTTCAAAGATAAATGTTTGGATGATGAAAATTGATTCAAAAAAGATTCCAGAAAGGCTTGACATACAAAATTGAATAGTGAAACAAAACAAAACAAAAAAACGTTTTTCTTTTTTTTAGGGGAGGGCTTTTCTTTGTTTTGAGACACGATCTTACTATGTAGCCCAGGCTTGCCTTGGACTCTCAGGGATCCTCCTGCCTCAGTTTCCTGAGTGCTGAGATTCCAAGTATGTGCTACTATGCTCCACTAAAAACTACCTCTTAAAATGAGAGTAATTACAATACATTAACTGCCCTAAATATAATAGTAATTTTTTATTGGTACATGTTTGAACATACTGGTAAATATAATTCTTACATTCATCTTGGGGAGTTGATCATATGTATATTACATTTCTTTTTTAATTCCCTCCCCTTCTTCCCTCTGCTCGTATCTCTTGGATCACTTTGTAATCCTAAATATATGTATTATTTTAAAAATTTAGTTGTTTTAAAGAGGGTAAAACAAAACAGCAAAGCAGATCAGAAGAAAACAATGTAAGTGACAGATTTCAAAGCAAGACAACGGGAGATTAACAGGGACTGCCATATGTTTCTTGTTCTAAATAGTTGTCTATATCTTTACACAGTGAATTCATACAAAACAAAATAGTATAAAACATCACAACAGAAGAATGAAAGCATTATAGGCCCTCAAAACCAGACAATAGGAAAATCAACAATGGTTACTGTAAAGTCTCTTGTTCTCTTCAAAATAGCTGTTCACACTTTCATGTATGTTGAAGTTAAATAAAACATAAACAGGTTAAAACCACTCTAAACAAAGAATAAAAGCATTATTGAATTTCACAGCATGACAATAGAAAATCAACAATGGAGACCATAATGTCTCTTTTTCTTCAAAGTAGCTGTTCTTTTCATCATGCATAATACAGTTGATTCTTGTAAACAGTTTAGGAGAAGTTCTAGGCTTGTATAAGCCTCTACATACACATCTGTCCTTCCTGCATCAGATGGAAAAACAAACAAAAAAATCCAAAACAAATTGCTAGAAAAACAAGGAATAAAAAAGACAAATAAGTAACAACAACAAAGAGCCCGAAACAATGATGATATAAGCCTTCAAAACAAGGTGGTAGGAACATAACTAAGATTGTTATTTTACATAGTGATTTTCAAAAGAGTTCCTCAGATCACCAGACGCAACATGCAAAATTGTTCTAACCCTGTGAATCTTAACTGTTTTGTACCAAGAACTAATAGAATTTGTAGCACAATCATCTTAGCTATCTTAAGTGTGTTTATACAAATTTAGATATATTTCTCTCCTCTTCCTTTTTTTTCTCCTTTTCCTTGAGATACTATTTTTCCCCTTTGAGCAGATTCTTACCCTTGCACAATATTTACTGAGGATTTTATATCTTATGTCCTCTTACCATTTCTTACACTAGGGAGACTACATGGTATTTACACATATGAGTTTGATTTATTCCACTTAGTATGGCCTCACGTTGCAAACATTTACTTATAAATATCTCAATGTGATAATTTTTATAGCTGAGTAGTACTCCATTGCATAAAAGTACCAATCTTTTTTATCCATTTCTCGGTTGCTGGACATTTAGGTTGTTTCCAGGATCTGGTTACTACAAATTGTGCTGCTATAAACATGGGTGCACATATATAACCATGATATGTTTTCAGTTCTTCTGGGAATATGTCCAGAAGCAGAATAGCTGGGTCAAATGGGACTTCCAATCCCAGCTTTCTGAGGAACCTCCAGACTGATCTCCACAGTGATTGCACCAGCCTACACTCCCACCAACAATGCAAAAGAGTTCCTTTTTCTCCACATCCTCTCTAGCATGTGTTGTTGGTAGTTTTCTTTATCTTGGCCATTCTTTGTGGAGTGAGATGGAATCTCAGTGTGGTTTTATTTGTATTTCTCTTATGACCAATGATGCTGAACATTTTTTTATACATTCATTTGTCATTTGTATTCATCTGAGAAGTGTGTATTCATCACAGATGCCCATTTTTGG